TTTTGATAGAAAATCGACACCTTGAATAAACGACTTAGGTATAACAATTGAAAGGAAGAATTTGTCCCGTAACAAAAGCAAAAGGAGTAGAATAGCAAAGTCAAAGTCAGTCACCCCCGTCTTGGGTAATTTATACACATCGACAACAAGGATATCCATAAAAATAAATCGCACATCTTGAGTACAAGCCTCACGAGCCGAGTCTCAAAACATTTATCTGTCTCGCTCGTCACGTTATCACATCAAGTCTCAAGTTCCTTTGCCAATGCCACAGCCACAACTTCCTACTATATATAACTATATAACTATATATATATATATATCTACCGTCAATCCTTTAATCCTCGCTATATACCCACAATTGTCTTTCTTTCTGTCTCCCGTTCGCGGAATGCCAAGAGATTACATCTTTCTCAGAATCTTTGTTCAAAAACTATTCAAACCTCCCCCTCATCCTTTACACACATCCCGCCCCCGCTTAGATCAATGATTTTTTTTTAAATTTATTGTTATGGAAAAAATAATAATAATTTCCTTAAAATATTAAAAAAAATTTATTATTATATAAATATTTAGACTGTATTCGAAAATTCTCTGTCGCTAGATACATAATTAAGAAATTACCTTGTATCTTGTCAACTATTGATATTTTTAAAGATATAAGCTCATCCTCTTGTTACACTTTTCAAGACCTTTCATTTGAGTACCTATATCAATTTTTCATATATTTTATATATTTATATATATAAATATATAAAACATATATCAAAATGCATGTGGGTACTTAAATGAAAGCTCTTGATGAGTGTAACATCGAAATGAGCTTATATCTTTAAAAATGTCAATAGTTAAAAAAGTACAGCGCAATTTAACGTAATTAAGAAATGAATTTGTATTTTGAGAACTATTGACATTTTTAAGAATATAAGCTCACCCTGACATTATACTCATCGAGACCTTTCATTTGAGTACACACATCAATTTTTCATATATTTATATATATGTATATATGAAAAATATATGAAAATGTATGTGGGTACTCAAATGAAAGCTCTTGATGAGTGTAACATCGAGATGAGTTTATATTTTTAAAAATGTCAATATTTAAGAAAGTCCAGTGCAATTTAAAAAAAAGTAATTATTATTAAAAAATAATTTTAACATGGATAATAAAGAATGAAAAATTGAAATAAAACAGTAATAATAATAATAATAATAATAATAATAAAGTATTGGAATTCATCTTGGCCAACGATTGATTAAAAGAAAAAAAAATATCGAATAGAATGGAAAAATTACATAACGCTCGAGAAAACTTATCGTTTGATGAACTTTTTGTGGTGTTACTCACCACGAGACCTTCTTAATTTACTTGAACTGTACTAAGTATACTAAGAAATAAAAAAGGAAAACTTTTGTTGAGGGAACAAAAACAAAAATGTTAACACTTACTCATGAGCAGGAAAATAAGCTCCTATTCAGTACAGGAAAATTAAGCTTCACAAATAAGAAACAAAACTAAAGACCCTTAGGCCTGGTGTTGTTGTATCCTCTCACATAAAACAAACACGAACCATTGATCACTTGCGAAACTTTTCAAACCTGCCGCGTATCAAATTCACCTCACGTTATTCCTCTTCTCTAGATAGTCCATATATATAAATATATATTGGTATTTTTATATTTTTTTCAGCAACCACAAAACACTGCAACAAAAAACAGAAACAATAAAATGATAAAAATAAAATACCGTGTTCGCACATAAAGCTAAAGCGTTTTATCCAAAAACATTTATCGGTACAATTTTTTTCACTTTGTATTATTTTATTATAAAAAAATTTCTGTATTTTTTGGGGATAAAATTAAATAATTATTAGATAAAGTGTGGGTGGTGTATTAAGAACAATTTGGGAGCACCACAACTGATGTAATTTTAGTTATAACTCGGGTAAGTTGATAATCCGTGTGAGGTACAACACTTTTCACTTACGATAATGATGTAATTACGATAAAAATAATTTTCAAAAAAATGGGGTGAGTGTTTGGAGGTATCGGTAATATTAAAGGCGATCAAGAGATGAGATGAGTTAATGTTTCCGGTGGAACTCTGGCGGCGTTCTTGGCCTTAGCACGAGTGAAGGCCGATTCAAATACTATCGGTGGAGGAGCTTCAAATGCAAGAGAAGGGGATTACTGACTGTTTTACTTGATGCATACGAGGAGAGCTGTACCACAGCTCGACCCCCAAAGAAGATTTTTTTTTATATGTTCACTCCAAGTCGGGATTTAATATTTATTTTTTCAGTCGGAAATTAAATCGATTTAATTTTGGTGAATTTTTATTGGGAAATTTGTTAAGTAAAAAATAATTTTTATTTTATTAAAATTATTTTAAAATAAGAAAATTACACACATTGTAAACACTAATCTATATTATTAAAAGAACAAGAAAATTTTTTTGGCCAGTGTATTTGTGCTTTATCACTAGATACATAATTAAGAAATGACCTTGTTTCTCTTGAACTATTGACATTTTTAAAGATATAAGCTCATCCCGATGTTACACTCATCAAGACCTTTCATTTGAATATACCCACATCAATTTTTCATATATCTATATATATATTATATGTATGTATATATGAAAAATATATCAAAAATGCATGTGGGTACTTAAATTAAATAAAAGCTCTTGATGAGTGTAATACCGGGATGAGCTTATATTTTTAAAAACGTCAATAATTAAGAAAGTACTGTGCAATTTAACAAAAGTTATTATTTAATAAAGCACTGCAAGATTGCTAATGAGTAATTAATGATAATTGTACCTAATATCTTAAACTGGTACTATGGTTGCGGTAATTTGGAGCATCAGAGATAATTAATGTATAAGATAATTAATGTAAAATATCATCAGTTGGAAATAATTGGTTGGAGATGAGTGAAGTTAAGTTTCGCGAGTAGAAGCATACTAGGATTTGTAAGCGAGATCTTTCTTGGTTGTCTGCACACATGAGCACAACCTTTGATCTCCTCACAAATGAGCTTGTATACTTGTTACTTGTTGTCAATTTAATCAACATCGTATATATTAATTGAATAGGAAGGATAATATTCAGCTGTACCGTCTGTATCTGCGGCGAATCTCTGACTAAGAGGGACCGACACTAAAAGGTAAAAGGGAAAAGGGTTCGTACGAGCAGAATTGAGCGACGAACAACTCAACAGAGCTCTATTGACTTTTCGGTCTTAATTAAATATAATTAAAACAGTACAAGTGTAATGGAAATTAACTGAGCAGGGAATTATGTGAGAGGAAGAAAGAAACTCCGGCTTAGTGTCAATTCCGTCAGTCGAGAGCTCTCTTATCTCTGATGTCTCGTTTGCCTTCAAACCTATTTTCTCAAATACCTCCTTTTAGTTTTATTTACGGGTTTTATTAGACAGCCAGTGACTTTGTATGCTTTAGAGCTGACAAAGCCGACAGACTCTTTATTTATTATTGCTAAGTAAATTTTAATTTTATTCTTCGATACGGTAGCGCGCTTCCTTTTATTAGACATCAATGTTTTTTATTCTTTGAGACTTTTTCTTTGTAATAGTAATTTATTTTTTATCACAATATTTTTTAGTTAAAAAAATTATTTTTGTTATAATAATATTCAATTAACTGTCAAAATTTAGCTTAATAAATTTTTAATTTTGCTTTATTAAATAATGACTTTTGTTAAATTGCACTGTACTTTCTTAAGTATTGACTTTTTTGAAAATATAAGCTCATCCCGATGTGTTACACTCATCAAGAGCTTTCATTTGAGTACTCACATGCATTTTTGATATATTTTTCATATATATAATATATATATAAATATATGAAAAATTGATGTGGGTACTCAAATGAAAGGTCTTGATGAGTGTAACATCAGGATGAGCTTATATCTTTAAAAATGCAGCTTAAATACTTATCATCACATAAATATACACTGCTCACAAAATTTTAAATATTTTTATTTAGATATTTTAAAAAATCAACTATTAATAATAATTAAAATATTTAATTAATTAATTTTTAATAAAACATATTTCAATATTACTAATAAAATTTTATTGAAATAAATTCCTTTCGGAAATTAAATCAAGAAATCAATTGCAAAATAATAAAATCCAATGTAATTAATAAATAATAAAATTAATATAGAACATTTAAAAGTAAATTATAGAGTATAACAAATTAAATTATTTTATAAATATACTGTGTTAATATGCACGCATATTTAATGTAGAATATAATTAAATGTATCCACTATCCGTCAAAGGGTGAACGTCAATATATCTATAAACATGCTTCATATTTATAGTCGTTTGGTAACGATAATAATAAGTAGATTAACCAGAACGTTCATGTAATATAATTGCGATTAAATATATCACATGTTCGCGTTAACTCGTTATATCTTTGTATAAATATAAATATATATATATATATATATATATATATATATATATCTATTTATTAGTGCTTTGATCTCGGCGGCAAAGTTACTAATTTAAATTCCAAATAAATAAATTAGAACGATAAAAAAATTGTTTTAATGTTTATTTGATTTAATTATATTTTTAAAATTGCTAATTGAGCCCCAAATAATTACCGTGGCACAACAAAGCCGGGCTTTGTGTATCTGTCGTTGGAAATTTATCGGCCACTTTATTTTATCGCGCGAATAACTTTTATATCAATACTAGATAATTATTGTTATATAAATAATTATATATATATATATTTACTTTATTTACTTTTTCCCCGGGTCAAAGTTTGTTTGTGATTTTTTTTAGGTCATTAAGTTGCAAAAATTACAATTAAAATTACATATATTCTTTCCAAGGTTGGAAAAATTTTATTAAATTAATTAAATAATATTAAAGGTATGTAATATTTTTATAATTATCTAGGTTAATATTTACTTTAATTAATTGTTTATATTTGTTTAAATTATTAATGGATGCAGATGGTAAGTTAATTAAATATCTTTTCTATTTAAAAATAATTAAAAATTTAATTCTAATAATTTTTTTTTTTTTAAATGAATTTATTAATTAATTTAATTTAATTTTTTTTTAGGAAAATATGCTGTTAAAAGTTTACTCCTTGATGGTATTAATGTTAGACTTATTAACACTACTTTTTGGAATAATAATATCGATAATTGTCGCATTTTACCGCACATTAAGACCACCGGCAATGAAAAGCCTCCACGGAGAAGTGGCTGTGGTAATTAAAATTTTTGCCACCATAAATAACGTTAATTAATTAAAATGGTAATATTGTCGAGTAAAAATCAATTTAATAGATTTAAATCACAGTAATTGAGAATTATTTATTGATATTAAGTCTTGATATGAGTTAAGAGGTAAACGTACTGCACACAGTACGATAAATAATAATTTATTAATTGGTAGTTGATATAAAGAAAAAAATTCCGACTTGTAATGTCACGGTGGATTACGATTTAGATTTAGATTAAAGTAAAAATCTAAATTTAATTAAGAGTTATTGTTTTTCCCCGAGAGGGCAATTATTAAAAATTGATTGATGCTAATTGCAGGTAATAGGAGCCGGCCGCGGCGTTGGACGCGAAATAGCGTTTCAATTATGTCTGCTGGGTGTTAAAGTTGCTTGTATTGATAAAAATGATAAAATGTGCAAAGCTACTGTCCAACAGGCTTCACGTGATTCTGCTGTTATTAAGCCTTATATTTGTGATATTACTGATAAGAAACAAGTATGTTATTTTTTATTTATTCTATTTTATTATTATTATTATTACTTTAACACATTAATTTTATTAATCAAAATTTAATTATTAAAATTAGTTGATTTTTTTGTATAAATAATAATAATTATATTATCTTTTGTTAAAGTGTGCTGTACCTTCTTAACTATTGACATTTATAAAAATATAAGCTCATCCCGATGTTACACTCATCAAAAGCTTTCATTTGAGTACCCACATCAATTTTTTATATATTTTTCATATATACATATATATATATATAAATATATGAAAAATTGATGTGGGTACTCAAATGAAAGGACTTGATGAGTGTAACATCAGGATGAACTTATATCTTTAAAAATGTCAATAGTTCACGAGATACAAAGTCATTTCTTAATTATGCAGCTAGATCTAGAGCATTTTTGAATACAATTAATTAATTTTAGGTAGCAAATACTGTAGAATTAATTCGTAAAGATTTAGGAGAAGTAACAATTCTATTACACTGTTGTGGAGTACCAAGCTCGCGTTCTTTAATTCAAAAGCCACCAGATATTAAAGAAGCTATTGATGTTGCAGTACTAAGTCATTTTTCGGTAAATTATCAATTATTTTTTCATTAATAATTTTTTTTTGTGAATAAAAAATTTTATTTGAGTTTTAATTAATCCAAAAATTATTCAAGAATCTAAATAATTATAAATAAATAATTTAATAGCTTCTAGAGTCAATACTACCCGGAATGCAACGCTTAGGCAGAGGCCACATAGTCGCGCTGTCTTCTGTAGCCGGATTTTCAGGAGCAGCGAGCCGCAGTGCTCGTGTTCCTTTTTCAACAGCCCAATTCGCGATCCAGGGATTCACCGAGTCCCTCCAAGCCGAGCTGAGACAGTCCAACAGCAACATTATAATCACTCTAGTCCACATTTATCCCTTCATAATCGACAGCGAAACCGCTAATGACATTCGTCTGAGAATACCAAGTTACTTTGGTACAATGCCGGCATCTGAAGCCGCCAGGAAAATCCTGGACGGCGTCAGAAGAAACTATGCCGAGTTCAGTATTCCTGGTTATTTATTGTACCTCGGACATGTTCTCAGGTACCAATAATTAAATAAATTCCTGTAAAGTTTATCAAACATTATTAATAATAATTAAATTAATTAATTAATTTTCTTTTATAGAATCCTTCCAAAAAAGGCATCATTTATGTTACGAGATTTATTGGACACAGGAGTTGATTTTGGATAAAATTTATTTATTATTTCCACCATTTGTAATAATAATATTTTTCTTAAATAACTTATACATAAATAATTAATACTTGTGTTTTACAAGACAGATTAATTATTAATAAAAAACTATTTTCTTAAAACTATTAATAAGTAAGACAATTTTATGTACAATTAACTTAAACCTTAATTATTTAATTAATAATAATTTTAATTTGTGTATTTGATAATAATTATTTAAACCTTCGAAAAAAATTAAAAATTTTTATTCATGTTGGATAAATTTTGTTAGTAAAACAATTACTAGGTCTAATTTTCAGTATTTTATTTTTTTAAATTAAATTTTAAAGTCAATATTGATAAATATAAACTGTCAAATTTCTTATAAAGTCAAAAAAAATTCCAACATGAATCAAAATTAACTTCACAAAATTATCAACGAATTCTTCACAATTAAAAAAAAATCTTAATTTAATTTAATCCCATCAATCCATTCCAGGAGGCGCAGGTTCCGAAGGATCAGCAGCAGGAGTCTCTTCACTTTTACCTTCCACAGAAAAATCCCCAGGCGGAGCAATATCAAAGTCATCATGTAAATCCACCATCTGCTTCCCTTGAATAACATCCATAATCCCCGAAGAAATATGCGCCTTCTGATTTTCAGTAAACTGCTCAATATGACTTACCAATCGTTCCTTCAACCCGGAGGACATTTTGAAAGCATCAGCAAGTTGTTGAGGCGGTAGCTGAAGAACCACCACGAAGCTCTGGGGCTGCAACTTCTGGCAGCATTTAACAAAGCCTTCCCAAACTTTGGGGAACTTCCACACCTGCTTCATAATCAATCTCTGCAGAATATTCATCACAAACCCGCTGAGTCCGGGGTACGAAGACAAGCTCTGAAGAACAGTTCTCATCAGCAAGGTAGGCAGTGGGTTAATTTCGACCAGGTGCTGGATGACAACCGCGAGAGTTTCCTGAGTAAAGACCTGTTTTTCCGCGAAGCACAAGGTAGTTGCCTTGATCACATTCATCAGTTCCGCCTTGTTGGAGTCGATATTGTGCAAGGCTATCAACAATTCAGCGGGAGTCAGCGGAGAAGTATGAGAAACTCCGGTGTCGTTAAGAGTTCCCAAGAGCCGGTTGAACACTTCCTTAACAACAATATTATTTAGCTTGATAAGTTTAGGCAGCGCAGCAATTACTTCCTGCTTGGTCAGTCCATTCAAAACCGGAATCAAGAATCTAACATCAGAAACGCGAGTCTGATAAAGTTCGCGGACTCTAGAAACTAATTCAGCGCTAGGTGGCGACCTCTCGGTTAAAATGTGGATGATTCTAGTGATCAGGGTCTCTGCGCCCTTCGGACAATTTTCTACAAGCGCTAACAACTGAGGACTAGCCATTCCTAAAGACCTGACCGGGTTCTCCACCAATCTCAGCACCATTCTCTTGACATCTGGCGGCATGGAAGTGTAAACTCTTGCCAGCTCGTGGATCAAGTCCTGGTGCTTCTCCAGCAAAGCTAAGTAAAGACTCAAACAAGCTCTAGTGGTAGATTCTGACCACAGTTGCTCAACTGTCTCCCTTCCACGGTCTGAACCAAAAACTATTTCCGGTGGGTTAGGAAGTCTCAAGAACCCAAGGTACATAACAGCGTACTCTTCTATTAGTTTACTCAATTCAGGGCGGCTGTAGAGCTCAACGACTAAATTAATCGACTGTTCGCGAATTAGCCCTTTTTCATGACCAGTGTGACAGAGTAGAACGTTCAATAAAACCAGCTGCTTGGTAGGTCGGCGGATCACCATTTCTTTAAGAAGATTCAAAGGAGCTAAGCCCCGTGTTTCATCACCGGAAATTGTCTTCAGTGCTTCGATAGCGTCGTCAGTAATAAGCGGAGCTTCAAAGTACAATCTGGATAACAGCAAGTCCCGATCTTTGCCCTGGATGATGTCAATAGCCGACACCAGAGTGCACAGCACAAAATTGTAAGCCTGTTTGGGAGCTTCGTGAGGGGTACTGCTCAAAGTGGTCCGTCTCTGGAAGCCCTGGAGCAGTGCGAACTCTTCATAGAGCCAGCTTAATGCCAGATCTAGCCTCGTTCGTATGTCCTCGGAGATGTAACGCAATACCGCTTCTCTGATATGAGGCTTGAAAGTTGCAGCAAGGGTTGTTAAAATTTTAGATCTCGCTGAAGCAACTCCTCCGAAAATCGCGCTCTTTTCAGCTCTGAGAATCCGATTAACCGCCATTAGCAACATTTTTTCCTTCGCGTCTCTCGACATGGGCTTAGTAACTTCAGCGAGTTTCAAAACTTTGACTCTGCTGCGCTTAGCAAGACTCTTTTCCGCTTCAAGAACAGCCTTGGCTTCTTTTTCCTTCTCGCGGTCTTTCTCGCGCTTCCGCTCGCGCTTGGCTTCAGCGACTGTGATAGTCGGGTTTTTAATTAAATCTTCCATAACAGCGTCATCATCTTTGTTTTTGATCTTTTTAGCCTTGGCTTGCTTAATTTGAGCAGCCAGAAGCTTAGCCACGACTTGGCGCTGCTCTTGCAAATCTGGAGACACACTTGGTTGATATTCCCTCGCGAAAATAGCAGTCATTGTGTCTGGAACCCAGGTCATGCTATCAAGAACTAAATCAGTTGCAATTTCTACGCTCAATCTTTCAGCAATAAAGCTCTCGGACAGTTCAATAAGCTCTGGCTTGACAATAACCGGCAAAACTTCCGGCTCTGGGTCTTCTACTGGGATGGTAGGTATAATTGTTTCCAATTTAGCGCGCTTGGCGGCGCTCGCAGCAGCAGCGGCCTCTGCTTGCCGCTTTTTCATTCGACGAATGTCTTCAGGCTTGGGATAAGCCTTCATGATGTCCTGCTCCTTGGCTCCCAGCTGCGTCAGCTGCTTGACGATAGTCTGCACGTGCTCGATACTCGCTGGGTGCTTCATCAAAGCGAGTAATGTTGTCTTCAGCTGCTTCTGGACACTAGTCACCTGAGAGTCGGATAAAGTCGGGGGCAAATCGCTCTGAAGGCGCTGCAGCGCTTCGATAACTTTCGTCATGAATTGCGGACGCATTTTAGCTATTACTGCGAGACTTCCCATGCATGCCATCAAATTAACACTACTTACGTGGGGCGAGCCGTGGAACTTTATCAGCGAATCCATCACCTGGTTCGCTTCCTCTTCAAGCTTGCGACGACGAGCGATTTTCAGGGTCAACGGAACGTCTTCCAGGGAAAAATCGTCGGGGCGCTTTGGTGAGTCGGGGTCCACGTGTGTCTGGAGCAAGACTACGCCTTCGAGGAATTTAACCGCTTGCGTACGGATTCCGTCGTTATCACTGTCGATCATTTTTATTATGTGAGCCTTCAAGGAACTCAGCTGGTTCCACGCGGTCTCCATTTCCGGGGTTACCACGGCAGAGCTACTGCTGACGATCCACTTTAAGGCCGCGCGGAGAATTCTACTACTCGCACGGACAGCGCGTTTTGATACTGCGGCTACCTCGTCGCTTATAAGCCGTAGAAGTGGGGTTAACATCTGGGGAATTCTGTCTGGAGTTTTGTCCCTGGAAAATTAATTGGAAGTGGAAGTTAATAAAAATTCTAGGTTTTAAAGTTAGAAATTGGGTTTTTTAAGATGAATATTTACCCAGCTTCTTCGATAAAACCAGCTACGGTTTTCCTGACATCAGCACTACGGTCTGAACAAAATTGCAGGACTTCATTCAGGTAAGTAGTCATCAGCTGGGGGCTTTTGTTGATTAAGTATTCTTGAATTTTAGTCAGGTTAGCGAGTTTGACTTCGTTGGAGCCCATTGTTGCTTCATTCAGCCATTCTACGATCTAAAAAAAATTATTCATCAGATTTTTTATATGAAAATTAATCCAACAGATAATAAAGTAAAAGACCCATTTATTAACACTGGCCTAGTTATTGACATTTGCAATATTATTTGAATTAAAAAAAAAAATTTTTTATGGTGATTGCAAACTTAAATGTCATGTTTTTTATGACAAAAAAAAATTTACTTCAACTAAATAATTTTGATTACATTAAAATCATCAGATGGCTACTTTTGTTTAAATTTATTTAAAAATAATTAATTTTTTAAAAAACTTGAAAATGTTAAATTTTTTTAATTATATTTAATGAAAATTAAGTTAGCCATCTAAAAATTTTTAAAATTCTTTTTATTAAAAAAATTATTACTAAAAAATTCATTTTTAAAAAACTATAAGTGCAATTTTTTTTAAATATTATTTATTTCTAATTTAATAATTAAAAAAAAAAAAAAAACTCAAAAAATTAACAATGTCGGCTAACTTTAGTATTATTCATATTTAATAAAAAATATTTACCGTATCTCCAGGATTTCTCTCTGGTTCTGCTCTGCGGTGTAGCCTCGGATCCATTTTTCAATTTTTTATACCGAAATGTAACAAACTCGGTAAATATTTTTCGTTTTAATATTACTGAATATTATAATATTACTAAATATTATCAGTACTGATTAACTTTCATATATTTATAACAATTTTTCAATTATAAAATATAACCAATACGGACTGAAAATTACCAATGACACACGACAACAACTCGACCGAAACAACTGAGAACTGCTGAGTTTGTAGGTTAGCCGGCACCCTTCTAAATATTTAACTTACGAATGCGCATGCGCGGGAAACTGCGCGGGTTTTTATAGTCTACAACCCATACGTTTATTTATAAAATAAATAAATAAATTCAATATTAACAAACGTTAATTGAAATCCGAATAAATATTAATACTTTCATATTAATGACATTAAATTTAGCTGTCATTTGACAATTTTTTATTTTATTTAATAAGCAAATTTGTTCCAAAAAATTATTTTTAATTTTTTAAAATTTCTACATGTCAATTTTTTTTTGTTATAATTTATTTGTTAAAAAAATTTTAAAAATGATCAATTATCGGCTAAATTAATTTTCATTTAATATTATTAAATAAATTTAAAGTAAATTTTTAAAAAATGAATTGACAAATTAAAAAAAAAATTTCCCGGAAATAATAATTTTGTTAATTATTAATGTTATTAAATTTTCATTAACCCAATAGTATAATACATTTAAAAATTGTAAATTATAATTTATTAGGTATTAATTGTATTTCTTTGTTCAGAAACAAATAGAAAGATTAGGACTCAGGTCAAATATTATTTCAACATCTGCTCCTTTGTCCTTTTATTCCAATATACACTTTCTTTGTCTTTTTGTTGAAAATTTTTATCTGAAAAAATTTTACATTAAACTAAATAATGTGAATAAAAAAAAAACTAATGCAGCGCCATCTTGGTAATAAATTATACAACTTTTCTCAGACATGCGTTTTAAAAGAAAAAACTTAACCTTAAATCGTGTTCGAAAATTATGTACGTACAATAAATAATATCTGAGTAATTACATGAAGCAATTTTATATTTATCAAATTACCAGTAATAAGAGTACCAGAATTGTTTTTAAATAAATATTCAAATGACAAGTTCCACAGTAACCTGATTGACGTTTTATATAAATATAAACCATCTAGGTGATGTAATAAATATTAAACAATAATAATAAATCAATAGGACAATAATTAAATTAAAATATATTTTATTTTAAATAATGGAAGTAATGATCAGAAGGACTTCAGTAATAAATAATTTATTAATAAAATCTTATTTTAATTTACGATCACTGTCAAATTATCGAGTGTGTGCGTGTTATAGCAATTTTAATTTTTCCAATCATGGTAAGTTTATTTTTCACCAAAATTTCTAATAATAATTGTAGTGATAATTATAAATTATTATTTTTTTCAGATACAACAAGAAACAGGGCATCTAATGAAAATTTTTCGTCGAATTTATTGACAAATATAAACCCTGTCATATACAATAAACAATTGCTCCAAAAATTTAGCAATGCCAGTGTTGAGGATAAGAAAAAAGATGAACAAGTTGACACGAGCAATGAATCACCATTGGAAAAATTTAAGAAACTGAATGTCTTTCAGAAAATGAAACAATTGTTTAAAGACTACTGGTATATTATGGCTCCAGTACATATTGCGACGTCAACTGTTTGGGTTGTCATTTTTTATACGGCTGCCAAAAAGTTAGTAACTATTATTATTGTCGGTGATTATTTATCACATTAAAGTTAGCAGTCATTTAATTATTTTTTTAAACAAATAAATTTGTTCCAAGAAATTATTTTTTAAAAATTCTACATGTCAATTTTTTATCTGATTCTTAAAATCATTAAATGTCTTCTAAATTAATTTTAATGATTATTTAGATGTAAAAAAATTTTATTTTAATTATTACAGTGGTGTAGATGTAATTCCAATAATGGAGTATTTTATGATACCTGATAAATATATTGACTTAATAAGAAACTCCGGTGCTGGTCATTGGGCTGTAGTTTACGCGATGTATAAATTATGTACTCCAATAAGATATACAGTTACTGTTGGTAAGTTATTTATTTAATCTATGTTATTAAGAGAATAAGAAAAATTTTGTATCCAGAATAGTCGTATGATAAAATCGGTTTATTAAGAAATGATCTTGTACCTTGAGAACTATTGACATTTTTTTAGATATAAACTCATTTTGATGTTACACTCATCAAGAGCTTTCATTTGAGTACCCACATGCATTTTTGATATATTTTTCATATATACATATATATAATATATGAAATATATGAAAAATTGATGTGGGTACTCAAACGAAAGCTTATATCAAAGGATGAGCTTATATCTATATTAAAATGTCAATATTTAAAAAAGTACAGTGCAATTTAACAAAATTCATTATTTAAAAAAGCAAAATTTTATTTATTTATACTTGACAAGTCACGGCAGTCTCATAGTGATTGCAAGGTTGCTAGTTATAATTTAATTGTTTATTCCAGTGACAATTATTAAATAAAATTTGTTTCAGGTGGAACGACAATGGCAATAAGGTATCTCGACAAAATGGGCTATTTAAAGTTCAAGCGGCCATCAGCTCAGGTACTGACTTACTCTAAAATAAATACTCTCAGATAGATGAATAAATAAAAATTAATTTTGTAATATCTTTTTTTTCCATGCAAACAATGAAGAATATTCGTAAGACATCTACTAGGTCAATGAAATCTTAGCTTTTTTTATTTTTCGTAACATTTATTCATTAATTGTTTTAAATATTATTTTTAATCATGCGTTTGACAATTTCATTAGTAAATAGTTAGTCGTTAATTAATAAATAATATTAATATATGGTCTAACTGTTAATTTATTTTCAGGCAGCGTCATCAAGCAAGTGCAGCATCGCATTCAAAAAAAAAACTGACTCAGTTGATTCCAAAATTAACAGAAACTGACAAAGAAAAAATTCGTAATAAAATTTAATTTATTATTGCTATTAATATTATTAATTGTGTAATAATTGATTAATTATTATAATAATATAAGAATGTAAGAGTAAGAAATGAAATAGATTGTGAAAAGAATGACGTATAAATGTAAAAAAAAAAGTTATTAATTAATTAAATATGTGAATATGTTTAATATCAGTCTTATTATTTATTTAATTAACTTTATTTAAAGCCATTATTATGCGGAATTCGATAATAACTACTTATATATTTAACTAATTAATTAATGGTATATCGTGTTTGTACACAATTATAAATAATGTCATTGTTGGTGCTAATTATTTAATTTGTTCAATTGTTGTCGCATAAAAGTATCAAGTACTTAATGTCAAATCTAAATCGATTATTATTTAATTAATTAACTAATTATTATAAATTGCATAAAAAAATATTTCAAATTATGCTAAATAAACAAAATATATCACAGCTGTCTCTGCAACAAGCTCTCCAAGAAAAATAAACAGCGAATTAATAAATAACTTTTAAATAAATATTTTACATTAATGAAAAAAAAAAAAAAAAAAAAAAAAAAAATTGTTTTTTGTGTTTTTACGTTAAAATTAATAATTCCTACTTACTAACATCTGTAAGAAAATTCGGTAGTTATTTACAAGTGGGGTCAAACCTATTTTAATTTAACAATTAATAAAAAAAAAAAAATTTTGTTCAAAAAAATTAAAATTAAAATAGTTGACTCCACTTGTAAATATTTACCGAAAATTCAATTAATTAATTAAGGTAAGTAATAGAGAATAATTTTGATTAACCCATATATTGATAACTTGCAGAAACTGGTTGCGGAGCACGTGGTTGAGTAAGTGATATACGTTCAATGTGACATGCTCGACACATTAACCGTCCGTCTAATGGATAACAACGTTTATCCGGTTCGTCAGTCAATTGCATACCACAATCTTCGCATATGTAACAATCAACATGAAAATCCCGGTCCATTGATACCACTCTCACGGTTTCTTCCGTTCCCTAAAAATAAATATTAAATATTATTATAAAAATACACTCTAAATTACCATCTTAGAAAAATAAATCTGAAGCATTCGTATATTAAAACAAAATTACTTCGACAGGAGTTATTCCTTTGCCACAAGACGCACATTTCGGAGCAAACATACGATGATAATCATTGACACAGTAAATTTTATTGTCGACGTCCACTGTAAATGGAACACCATCAAGACATTCATTGCACACGCAGCATCTGAAGCAGCCTGGATGATATGACTTGCCCATCGCTTGCAGTATCTAGACAACAAGACACCAATTAGTAATAAATAATATTTAATCATCAACAACCTAATTTCTAATTACCATCTCCATGATCAAGTGTCCACAAATCGCGCATTTTTCAGCAGTCTGTTGGAATCCCGAGTACTGAAAAAAAAAATAAATCTATATTATTAAGAGAATAAGAAAAATTTTGTGGCCAATTAAGAAATGACCTTGTATCTCGTCAACTATTGACATTTTTAAAGATATAAGCTCATCCCGATATTACACTCATCAAGACCTTTCATTTAAATACCCACATCAATTTTTCATATATTTCATATATTTATATATATTATATATATGTATATAACGAAAAATATATAAAAATGCATGTGGGTACTCAAATAAAAGCTCCTAATGAGTGTAACATCAGGATGAGCTTATATTTTTAAAAACATCAAAAGTTAAAAAAGTACAGTGTAATTTAATATAATTAAGAAATGACCTTGTATCTTATTAACTATTGACATTTTTAAAGATATAAGCTCATCCCGATGTTACACTCTTTAATACCTTTAATTTAAGTACCTACATCAATTTTTCATATATTTCATATATATATATATATTATATATATGAATATATGAAAAATATATCAAAATGCATGTGGGTACTCAAATGAAAGCTCTTGATGAGTGTAATATAAAGATGAGCTTATATCTTTAAAAACATCAATATTTAAAAAAGTACAGTACAATTTAACAAAAGTCATTATTTAATAAAGCATAATTTCATTAATAAATATCAATGAAAATATACTACCAAGTAATCTTCTTCACAATAAACCTTCCCATGGACATTATAAAAGGCTTTTCCTCTCAAAGCCCTTCCACATGAGCAGCAAATAAAGCAATTAGTATGATAAAGATTCCCCATAGCCTGGCAAGCCTGTCCAGCGCCAGTGACTTTTTCCCCACAGGTATGACAAATTCCAAAGTACTCTCCTTCCTCCTCTTGCTTCTCCATCTCTTCCTCGAGCTGTCTAGTGAGCTCCTCAATCTTCCTCTCAGCCTCAGTGGGCCCGGAAGGTCTAGCAGGAGTGACGCTGTACGGCAGCAAGCCTTTTCCTTGGATAGTTTTCGTAGTAGGGCTCGGGCTGGGCACGGGACGTTTGTCAATCACTGGAGCGTTCAATTCAGCTGGAGGTTTTTGCAGAACAGGAACTCCGGCGTTGAGAAAAACTGGTCCAGCTACACCACTGGTGACTCCGGGAGGTAAGCTGGTGATTCTCGGAACTGGAGCAAGATCATCAACGGGAACAGTCGCGCTGTTGACTGGAGGTTGGACTTGACCGCGAACTGGACTAGGCGGGTACTGAGCAGCCGGTCTGGAAGTCACTGGAGCACTGGGAGGCAGCGAGACCGGCTGTTGCAGAGCTGGATGACCTTTGGGACTCGGGGGAGGGTGGACCGGGCTGCTGGGGTGCTTCAGACTCTGGTTCTGCTGTCTGGAGTCCTGCTGAGTCGGTCCAGAGTCCCTGGACCTGGACTGGTCCCTCCCTGCGTGCGGAATCGCGTACAAAGGGGAGCTGCGATTGGAAGAGGGTGACTCATGGCCTTCGTTGGTCTTGTTCGAGGAGTATACGGGAGTTCTCGCGGCATACTCGCGGCTAGGTGAGCTGTTGTACCTTTCACCGGTGTTCCAGGTCGCTGGCATTATATTACGCGGGTTCGCTGGCGTGTATCCGGGCAGACGAGCGTCTGTCGACCTTGTACCGTAGACTGGCGAGTGTCTTGGCTCACTGGGGTACTTGAACTGTCCGTTCTCGCCGCGATACTGCCCGGGATCTGTCACTTGACTCAGAGACCTGTAAGACCCGGCTGGTCCTACTCCTACTCCTACTCCTGGAACGTGTTCATTACTCATACGCGTGTAGTGAGTCTCCGAATGACGCGGTGATGAATCATAAGACGGATTCATCCGTGGTGGCTGCTGGAGTTGGGGCTGCAGCTCTGATGGCGGAACGTATGTGCTTCCTCGGGCTTGCAAGTCGCTTGCTGAGGATGATGATGTTAAGTAACGGGGGTTTATTGACGGTACTTCGTAAGATGGAGCGCGTGTTGGACGTTGGACCTGAAATAATTATTTATTTACTGTTGGGACTTAATGCAGTTTAATTATGCTCTATCTCTAGATACATTATTAAGAAATGACCTTGTATCTTGGTAACTATTGATATTTTTAAAGATATAAACTCATCCTGATGTTACACTCATCAAGACCTTTCATTTGAGTACCCACATCAATTTTTCATATATTTATATATATATATTATATATATATATGTATATATGAAAAATATATAAAAATATGCATGTGGGTACTCAAATGAAAGCTCTTGATGAGTGTAACATCAGGATGAGCTTATATTTTTAAAAATGTCAACAGTTAAAAAAGTACAGTGCAATTTAACAAAATTCATATGGAAATTTAAATAAGAAAAAAAAATTACCTTTCCAGTCATCACAACGTAATCTCCACCATTAATACTCGCTGGATAAAAATTAGGAACCTGAGGTCCAGGTTTACTCTGGGCAGCGTCGTCAAGATAATTAATTTCCTGGATATTCTCATAAACTGGCGGAGCTTCGTAAGGAGGTAGTTCCTTGGCTGGAGACACTGTGTATTTATTAGTAGGTACCTGGGGCTGGGCTTTCCTGAAGGAAGGGTCATAGCAGTCCCCTGCCAGCGAAGTCCTTGGACTACTCTTTGGGCTCTTCTTCTCCAAAGAATGATAATACGGCGGGTGCGTGGGTCCAGGGTAGTACTCTATATTTTCATACACAGGATTTCTGTCCTCGAGGTCTATCGACTTGGAGACAGGATATCTGGGTAGTTCGCGGTCGTACGACTGGGTGTGCTCGTCTATGTAGTTGTCAATAGCACTCATCGACCTGTTGGACCGAGAATATTGCTGCTGCTGCTGCTGCTGCTGCTGGTAGTGCTGCTGCAAATAGTGATGATGCTTGAGCTGGTCTCCTGAGATTGGAACCTGAGCCTCGGGTTTGGAGCCTCCGATGTGGCCAGGTACTCCAATAGCGCCTCCACCTCCAGGAACTCGGTCTCCATCCTCATTCAGATGGAGATAACTGAGCTTTTGTACATACGAGTCTGCTGAGTCACACATTGGCTGAGTAATTTATTATTTATTCAACTTAGACCTTTCTTTTTGACGTTAATTCCTCGAACTCAGTCTAACAAACTCACTGATTTATTTTTTATAATTCATTTATTTAATTATCAACATTTTAAAGCTTTACTCAACTCCGTTGCTTTTTTTTTCACTCACTTTAACTTCCACAGGACTACTTTTCCGGTTTTTGAATTATTTTTTAGTGTATAATTTATTTTTTTCTGTAAATGAAAAAATAATTTATTTTAATTTGACGAAACAGTGATCGAAAATCGATTAAGAAATTTGGGATACGCCCCGGTTGTTTATTATTTATTGTCGAAATACTTTTAGGAAGAAAAATAATAAAATATAATTACTATCAATAACTGTTTCAGGAATGTTATTTCTTCGAGATAATACTTATTTTAATGAGTTATTGTTACTTAAATTATTTTAGAGAGAAACGTTACGACAGACAAGAGTTTACGAGATGCGAGACATTTTTTTTTTTCAGCTTTGGCAAGTAGCATTTTATTGTTTTTCTTCGGTACATTTCTTCCTTACCGACTGACAGGCATTTTTTCATTTTTTCATCTGGTGGTAACTAAAATAATATATATATATATATATATATATATATTTGTATAATTTATAATATAATAACATGTATTTTTACTTTTACAGTCAAGTTTGTTTATAACCTCAATCATGTTGCCATGGATAGAGTTTTAATAACAAAACAGTGATCGATCAAACAAATTGACAATTGTCAACAATAATTAGTAAAAATACCAGCTTAATTGTTAATTTTCAATTAAAAATAATTTATTTCCCCAGGAATTTATTTATAATCAAAAATATCAAGTAAGTATTAATTTGTAGTCTAAAAAATTTTATTTTTTGAGTGAAAATAAAGCTAGTTATTTTTTCCAGGTGACTATTAATTGTAAAAATGTTTAAAAATACATTCCAAAGTGGATTTTTATCAATTTTATACTCGATTGGCAGCAAGCCGCTCCAGATATGGGACAAAAAGGTCCGAAACGGTCACATCAAACGCATCACCGATAACGATATCCAGAGTTTAGTGCTCGAAATACTTGGCAGCAATGTAAGCACTACGTACATAACGTGTCCAGCTGACCCGAGGAAAACTCTGGGGATAAAACTGCCGTTTTTAGTTATGATTATTAAAAATCTAAAGAAATATTTCACCTTTGAAGTTCAAGTAAGTGATAATAATTTTTTTTATGACACTAAAATTAGCAGACAATTTTTAGATTTTTATTTAAAAGAAACTAGGGGTAGAAAAATATTTTTATAAAATCATATTTATTATTTTTTTATGAGTTTCCAAAGATTAAATTTTTTAAATAAATTTTTCTTGCTATAATTTATTTGTTAAAAAATTCCTAAAAATTATGATACTAAAGTCAGCCGACGTTTTTAATTTCTTGATTTTTTTTCAATAATTAAATTAGAACAAAAAAATTGCACTTACAGTTTTTAAAGTTTTTAACAAATGACAATTTTTTTTTTTAGTCATTTTTTCCATAAAAAAAATTTTTTTAATTTTCATTAAAAATTATTCCAAGTCTCTCAACTTCAGTCATTTTTTTTTTTTTTTTCCAAAATTATTGATAAATTAACGGACAAATTAAATAACTTAAAAATTAATTGCAGGTAATTGACGATAAAAACGTCCGTCGAAGATTTCGTGCGAGTAATTACCAATCAACTACGCGAGTGAAGCCTTTCATCTGTACGATGCCAATGCGGCTAGATGATGGATGGAATCAAATCCAATTCAACCTCGCAGACTTCACGAGACGTGCTTATGGAACAAATTACGTCGAAACATTGAGAGTACAAATCCACGCGAATTGCCGTATCAGGCGTGTTTATTTCTCCGACAGACTCTACTCCGAAGACGAGCTACCAGCGGAGTTCAAGTTATTTTTGCCGATACAAAACAAAGCTAAATGTTAAATTTTGGATCATGATTCCACATTATCGACTTGTTAATTAATTAATTAATTACTTTTTACGTTTCTTCAACGTAACTTTAGAGTTGATAATTGGTTGTGTCTGGCAATATTTATTCTCAATAGAATAATTTTTATTTTTTAAAGAACTAAAATTAACCAACGCTTGATGAAGTTCGTCGATCACGTCATTACTTTGGTCATAATGATGCTCTTGTAAATAAATACGCCGGTACCGGAAATTAGGATGTAACTTTATCCGTAATAATGACTTGTAATCAGTAGAATAAGTGTCTTTGCACAGAGTTGATAAATTTATTTCAAGCTTGTTCCAATTGTCTGCGAGTGTCAGAGGTATAAATGCTGTTGTTGATGTTACTTTTTTTAATTTTTCACGTGCTGTGTTTGCTACCAAAACGAAGCGACGTCGAAAATTGCACTGGTCATTAATCTGAATAAAAAAAATTTTTTTAATGTTAATTTTATTTGTATTTATATTATTAAGAGAATAAGAAACATTTTGTGTCCAGGATAGTCAATTTATTATGATAAATATTTAGGCTGCATTCAAAAATGCTCTATCTCTAGGTAATAATTAAGAAATGACCTTGTATCTTGTCAACTAATGATATTTTTAAAGATATAAGCTCATCCTGATGTTACTCTCATCGAGACCTTTCCCTTGAGTACCCACATCAATTTTTCATATATTTCATATATTTATATATATGTATATATGAAAAATATATCAAAAATGCATGTGGGTACTCAAATGAAAGCTCTTGATGAGTGTAACATCAAAATGAGCTTATATCTTTAAAAACGTCAATATTTAAGATAGTACAGTGCAATTTAACAAAAGTCATTATTTTAATTTTATTTATATTTGACAAGTCACGGCAGTCACATAGTGACTGCAAGGTTACTAGTTTATAATTAATTACTTATAATAGTGACCTGAAATTCGATTTTTCCTTTAAGCTTGAGATTTTTTAACACAAACACTATAATCGGAAGTTCTATATCAAGAAAAGCTTCGGAATCTGAAGGACAGATTAGCGAGGTTGGTATGTAATCTTTACTGTTACTACGCTCGCTTTTTCCAGTAATTTCAATCACTCTGTCATTTTTCAGCAGCTCGTCCTTGACTCTCTTTATTTTTCCATCCAGAGACACAAACTTTGACCAGAGTGCCAGAGGATCTTCAACTACACTGCACAGTAAGTACTCAAAATTTTTATAAGATAATTTAGACATTCTATTTATTTTTGTGACATTTTCAGATTTTATTTGTGGTTAATTGGGACAAAATAATTGAAAATCATTTGCATTGACATTGGAATGAATTTTTTTTGTTATATAAAAATCTGATAAAATGACCCAATTTTCGGAGATATTTAATGTTTCATTAAGAACAGATAAAAATAAAAAATAAATTAGGAGTGATATACGCATGTGCTGCTTGCAATTAATTGATAATTATTAAGTATTGATTTTTTTTTTAACATTTCTTAAGAGTGGGAGATATTATTGCTGTCTCTTTACTTGCAACTATTTTATTTTAATTGTTATCATTATTATAATTAATTACTGTTTAAATTTAATTTTAGAAAATTAAATTGATCAAAAGAAAAAATGTTTACAAAATAATTAAATTAATTTTTAAAATTTAGAAAAGAAGAAATAGTAAACATTTTTATTTATTATTATAATTGATAAATTTTTATAATAATTTAATAATGATATATATAAACGCGTTACAGCTCAAATAAAATTTCTAGCTGATGCGCACATATACGTACACATTGAACATAACTATCTGTATATACCCGAAAGAATTATAGGTATATAAAATATATAAAGATATATGTATTATACTACTACTACTACTACTACGATTTTTAAAATCGACGAATGCTATTATATATTTTGTATTGAGCACTCGTTTTGGGGGAGACGCCGACGCCCGGCGCCGACGTACTTTTTAAAGCGTCGAGACCGCGTCAGAGTAATCTCACCAATCTCGTGGTCCATAACACGATAATAACAATATATTAACAAAATAAAATCCTAATTGAGGATATAATTAATAATAAAAAAATAATTTTTTTTATTTTTCTACTAACAATTGGTGTTTGGATGAAACTGTCAATTTTAAACTCTTTAATTCCACGCGGGCTTATCAATGTTTATCATAATTTTATTATAATTACTCACAATCACTTAAATTAAATCCTGGCTTGTTTTAAATGATTAATTAAATTTATTTATTGAAATAAATACTGAGAAAAATGCGTGAGCTTAAGGTCGACGACACTAGCGGCAAAATATCTTCAAGAGAAATTTATTCTTAATGATCTGTATAATTAATTTAATTTTTTATTGATTATATTGAATAATTATTATTAAAGAAGAAATTATTTAGTGTTTTATTTTTTTTTTTTAATTTTAAACAAGAAGAAATATTAAATTATTAATTAATTAATTAATTAATATAAATTGAAATGAACGGAAACGCATGTTGTGATTTAAATAAAGATGAATTACTACAGTGTAGAATATGTGCTGAATATATAAGTGATAAAAATGATGTAGTTAATATATTTGATGAAGATGCTAAATGTAATCATCTTCAAACAAAGATACGAAAATATCTTTACATATTGGTAAGTCACTTATTTATTTCTTCTTTTATAAAACAAGGTGTAGCTTCACGTAATTAATTATAATTAATAAATTAAAACAAATATAGGAAAATATCTTTATATATTGGTAAGTCACTTATTTATTTATTTCTTCTTTTATAAAACAACGTGTAATTAATTATAATTAATTGTAATTAATAAATTAAAAAAATCAAATAAAAAATGACGATTGCGCACGATCCATAAAAGTGTGAAAAATTAGCATTTTATCGATTGCCGCGAGTATAATAGAACCAGGCAACACGAATAGAGTAGAATAATGTATAGAAGAAACAAAGATAAAGCGAGAAAGAATGATACTCTACATCTATATTTACAGTAGTTATTTGCAAGTGAATATATGTATAATGAAGCTCATAGTCTCCCGCCTCTTTGGCCTTTATCACTCACTATAAATACAATTCCAGGGAAGATATCATATATAACAACTAGCTATCAAACACGTCAGCGAATTTAAAAATTGTCACTTTGACGTAATCATTATTTTTATTTTATTTTATTTTATTTTATTTTATTTTATTTTATTGAATAATAAATAACCCGACGCACGTGTTATTTAATTATTAATTATCAATTTAATTGGGCTTATTGATCTTTTTATTTATAGGTATCCTCGGAAGATCGACTCCCGAAAATTGTGTGCTCGATGTGTATCAAGCGACTGGAAAACATCCATCACTTTGTTACATTGGCACGCAGAGCGCAAGATAAACTTAAATTGCAGTACTATGGACGAGATGACAGCGATATTAAACAAATTAATGACAATGATGATGGGAAAAGAGATAAAGGATTCTTACTTCGATCTATTCTTAATAGGGTAATTTCTTCTTTTTATTTTGTTTATTTTGGTGAATTTTTAATGGGGAAATTTTTTTTTTTAAATAGAACGAGATTGACGAGTCTCACTTGTCAGTACGCCCGATTGAAGATGAATCAATACTTACTGAAGAAATGGAAGTTAAAGTTGATCCGATGATTTTTCTTCAGTGTGGCCTAGATCGTTCTATCACTCCAGAATCTGAATATAACTCTGATGATGATAAAAGTTATACAAAGTAATTATTTAATTATATTTAATATTTAATTTTTGGTATTTCTTCTTTTTAAAGAAAAATTATATTAAAATTAATTTAATAAAATAAGTTTATAGCAAAAATTAATTTAATTATAGTTAATATTTAATTTTTACATTTCTTCTTTTTAAAGAAAAATTATATTAAAATATATTTAATAATTTTATAGCAAAAAAATTATGGCAAAAATTAATTATAGTTAACATTTAATTTTTACATCTCTTCTTTTAAAAAAAAAATTTCTATTAAAATATATTTAATAATTATATAGCAAAAAAATTATGGCAAAAATAAAATTGACGTAGAAATTTAAAAAATAAAAAATGCAATTTTTTAAAAATAATTTTATTGGAAAATAAAATTAAGAAATTTTTAATTAACTGTTAATTTTAATGTCATAAATTTATTTTTCTAAATATAATAATTAAGTAAATAAATTTAAAAATTAATAATTAAACGTCAAAAAATTAATAATTGTAATTTATTTATTTATTTATTTAGAGACAGTTTAAGTGCAAATGAAGAGCCAAAAAATTATTCATCAAATTTAAATGAAGACTCAGAAGAAGACGATGAACCTGAACCAGAAACAGAAGATCAATTGCTAAACAAACAATTTAATTGTACACTGTGTTCACGAACATTTGAAAGCCAAATGAATCTACAGAATCATCTGTGGTCTCACATACCCCGCGCGGAGTGTCATTACGACGATTCAAAATCAATTTCTTCATTGAACATCAACAACAACACTCCAAACAACGGGGTACTGATGCCTAACACTTCTGATAATTCATCAGGCAGCTTTGTCTGTCCAATTTGTAATAAAAATATCTCAACCAAAGGCAATCTAAAAGTACACTTAGAAACCCATCGGCCTAAAGGGAAGTACGGCTGTGATATTTGCGGACGGATGTAATTATTTAATATATTTAAAATTAATTCTTAGAAGTAAAGATAAGTGGCTGTTGATTATTTATCTAACTTGTTTCAGCTTCAAGACGCAATCAAATCTTTATCGGCATAAAGAGTACCACGGCGGTATCCAATTTCCGTGCAGTGTTTGTGGAAGAGTTTACCCAACAAATTCAACGCTGCGTGCTCACAGCATTACTCACTCAGATTTACGTCCTCATGCTTGTCCACTGTGTGATAAAACTTTTAAGCGCAATCAGGACTTGAAGTTTCATATTAATCAGCACACTGGAGCGAGACCTTATCAGTGTCCGTATTGCCCCAAAGCATTTGCCAGCTCTGGTAATTGTTTCTCACATCGAAAACGCATGCACCCCAAAGAAGTACATCGTGATAGACAACGCGCGGCCGATCTTATGAGATAAGTTTTGTTGTTATTTATTTATTTTATATTAAAATTAAGTTAGCCGACATTTCACAAATTTTTACTATTTTTTTTTTTTTTTTTTATTAAAAAAATTATTACAAAAAAAATTTTCATTTGTAAAAAACTTTAAGTGCAATTTTTAAAAAATATTTTTTTGTTTTAATTTAATTAATGAAATATTAAAAACGTCGACTAACTTTAGTATGACTTATTTTATTATTATTACACAGTAAAATGAATTATTTTATAGAAAAATAATTTTTTAACGCGTCTCAGGACAAATTATATTTTTTAGTAATATTAGAGTACAATTTTTAATACATGGAGGATAATTTTACAGATCTAAATGATTTTTTTTATTTAAGAAAGACAATAACAGTATTATTGTTCGTTAATTTATTTATATTTTTCGTTACACCAGCTATCAAATCATTCATATCTGTAAAATAATCTCAATATTATAATTATCGCGCACTATGAAACCCTTATATATACAATTGTAATATAAATGTTTAAAAAAAATGTAGGTCTGTGATAAAATTGGGGTCTTCGTAGCTAACGTGAATCGCATAATTGCCAAAGAAAATTAGTTAGTATAAACAAAATAATAATCAAGTAATTATTTATTATATATTGTTAAATTTATTTGTTGACTGCACATAATGTTTTAAATGATTATTTAATGGTTCTATGTCTTTTTTTTATCGGTAATAATAATTAATTATGACGTTGATAAATTTTTAACTGATAATTACTGAGAAATTATGACCTAAGAAATTTTGTCTTGATAAATAAGAGACCGTTACCTTATTTAATTACCGAAGTAGATAAAATCGTGGATAAAATTAGTTTAGTTATTACTCATTACACAAGGTATCAAACAATGTCAATGTAAGCGATATTAAGACTGTAAAAATATTAAGTGTCAAATTAGTTTTTTATTTTTAAAATATTTATTTACTTCCAATGTTATTTATCGTTTAAATGTCGATAGTTTTATATTAGTTGAAGAAATATAAAAACATGTATTTAATATTAATAAAAACGATAAGTCTGAATAGAATTAGATTATCATAATTAATTATTATAGCTAGATGTACAAATATATAGAATTGTCTGTGTGATAAATATACTTATAATAATAATAATAATAATAATAATAATAATAATAATTAATAAAATATGTCCAAGCTTCCAATGGAATTGCACAAATTAGCAATTTTGGGATCAATATCAGTTTAAATATTTATTTGCTGTTAGTACCCAGAAAAATTATTGTTATTTTTCATGTAGATTAATTATTTTACCTATTGGGTAATTATGTTTAAATAAACGACATCGAATTGCTTGTACTAAATAATTTCTTTCATTCCCGACCATAAAAATCAATCAACTATTTCTTGACTTTAATTTTTAAAAATTGACAGTAAATATTCCACTAATCTTATCTTTTATAGTGCTATCTGTGATTGTATAATTTTTAATCAATGTTATCAATTTATTTTACTGCAGTGCGAAAAATTGCAGTTTAAATTTCTGTCTGTGTTCTTAACATGCAAACTTAATATATATCTTCATGAATATGGGTGATGTATATAATATACTTGATGTAATCACTCAAAAGTTTAAAACTTCTCAATTTTTATTAAAACTTCCGATAGCGCTCAAAAGTTTAAATCAACTTAAAAATTATTAAAATTCAAGTTTAACTATAAATCATACGTATACATCACAGTGATGATTCATAAGTGAAGATATACTTTAATTATTGTGATTAATAAACCTAAAAAATAATCTTATTTTATTTTAACCGATATAATAAAAATCAACTATTATTATTATTATAAAAACTCAATTTTGATCAAAATTAATTCATTAGATATTTAATAATTTTTTTAACAAAAAAATTAAAAAAAAAAAAATGCATAATTAATTTAATATTGCTATAAAATTCTAAAAAAGTTTTTAATATCTGTATTTTAGTTTATAAAAATTACATGTCAATTTTTTTTGCCACAATTTATTATTTATATTAGGTATTTAAAAAATTATTAAACATCTGAAAAATTAATTTTTATAAAAAAAAATTTATTTGTTAAAAAATGATTAAAGAACGTTGTCATATTTTGATGATGACCTTCAAATCGTGATATTGATTTTAAGAATTTAATATCATTGTTATATACTTAGTGATAAATGTACATATATATAGTTGATAGAAAGCTTTTCGATCCATTCAAGTTTAGCTTGATTGATTTATATATTTGTAAAAGCTTTCATGTATTTTTACGCTAAAAAAAAAAAAAGATGTATATTATAATACGGGTAATAAAAAGAGAGAGGGTATTTACTTATATATAGGTATATAAATATGAGGATATAAACATGATGTTCAGAGTCCAAACACGCTAGTTGGTTCGTGACAGTGAAAGTCAAAGCTTCTCGGCTTCAGACTGTCGGATTAAAATTTAAGTTTAAATTGAAACAAAAAAATCCCAAACTGTCATTTCGCAATAAGTCACTATTAATTATTTTAATTATTCATTCAAGTAGGTTTAAAAAAAAAAAAAAACTATTTATCGCCATCTAGCGAGTTTGACAATCGACAACAATAGTAACTCTCGTTTTCAGATTCTTCCCCTTCCTCCTCAATCGTCCTCATTCATTTTATTTTCTGTTTATAGAAAAGCAAGATAAAAAACAACTCGGTGTATTTTATAAACATTTCTCTATCTCAGTCTTCAATAAAAAAAATAAAAAAATTTAGTGTTTGTTAATTTTAAAAAAAGGAAATATTTACTTTTGAAAATGTTACACGACAGCGATTGTCAAGGATTATCAAATGGAACGCAGCAAAATAGTGTGGTTCAACCATTACTCACAGGTATTGACATTTTCATTTATTAATCACTATTATTTTTTAATTATTCATTTTCAATTATCTTAACCTTCAATCGTTAATTATCTTATTAAAATAATAATATTTTTCTTTTACTCAGACACAAATTATAATAAATTCTTTCATAATTTATTTATTTTTATTTTTTTAAAATCATTTACTGACAAATTATAATTTAAAATTAATGACTCGTAATTTTTTTAGTCATTTATTATTATCAGTATTACATCATAATTAAATGCGTATCATTTCTTCTTTAATTAAGCCACTAAATATTATTTATAATTTATATTTTTTTGTAATTTTTTCAATAAAAAACAAATTTTTTAGATTTCGGCTAACTTAATTTTCAGATAAAAATCAAGTTAGCCAACATTTCAAAATTTTTGGAAATTTTTTATTGAAAAAATTTCAATTAAATAATTAAAAAAAAAAATTTCACATGTAAAAAACTTGAAAAACTATAAGTGCAATTTTTTAGAAATATCTTTTTAGTTGTAATAAAATTTTTAGACGTTTGCTAAACATAATACTAAAGTTAGCCGACGATTTTAATTTTTTTTTAATGATTAAATTAGAACAAAAAATATTTTTTAAAAATTGCACTTATAGTTTTTAAAGTTTTTTACAAGTGAAAATTTTTTTAATCATATTTTTGTGATAATTTCTTCAATAAAAAAAAATTTTTAAATTATTAATATTTATTTTTTTTTAGATTTATACCAAATAACAATGGCCTATGCCTATTGGAAATGTGGAAAAATGAATGATTACACGACATTTGATTTATTTTTTCGTAAGAATCCTTTCCGAGGAGAATTTACTATTTTTGCTGGCCTGGGAGAGTGTTTAAAGTTCATGCAAAAGTTTAAATACTCTGAAAGTGGTAAGTAATAAAATAATCTTTAAAAATATTAATAGTTAGAAGTAATTAAAATAGCTTATAAAAGTTTACTGTTATTTACACAATAAATTACAGTAGTAAAAAAAATAGTTAGAAAATAACAAAAAAATAATCATAATAAAACTTTAACTTTAATCAGTAATTAAGACAAAAGTTTTTTAAGATAAAAAATGATCTTTTAATTCCAGATATTGAATATTTGAAAACAACGATGTCTTCATCGATAGAACCAGAATTCTTTGAATATTTAAAAGGCCTAACACCTAAAGACGTAACTCTTTATGCGATAGAAGAAGGCTCCGCTGTATTCCCAAGGTGAACATATTTATACGACTATAATTTAATGGCAATTGTAAATAAAAATATTTATTTTTCTTAGAGTTCCATTGATTCGAGTAGAAGGTCCACTGATAATGGTCCAATTGCTGGAGACAACACTCCTCACGCTGGTAAATTACGCAAGTCTGATGGCAACAAATGCTGCACGATATCGTATGGCAGCTGGCAATAATGTCTCGCTTCTCGAATTCGGATTAAGAAGAGCTCAAGGTCCTGACGGCGGGCTTAGCGCCTCCAAGTACAGTTACATAGGCAAGTTTATTATGTTTGTCACTAGTTACGAATAATTGGAACTCCGTTTTAAATACTTAAGAGATTATAATCTAATATAACTACCCAGATAAAGTAAGGAGTAATTAATTATATTGCTAGTATATAATATATAATTGACGAAAAATTCTCCATGACAACGGGTAGTTTGCTGTTTATCAAGAAACGGTTAAGTCGATAGTCCGTGCTTGTTAGTACCATGAGTTCATGGATATTGTTTAAAACTAAAACCACTAATTTTAAAAACTATCTCTAGACACTTCGTGTTAATTACTCAATCGATTTTTATTTACTTTTATTGTACAGTTAAATCTAGGTCGTAATACTAAAAACCTTGGAAACTTTTATCATTAACTAACTCAAAGATTCTCTTTATGTTTGATTAAATTTTTTTTTATTTAATCTATATTATTAAGATAATAAGAAAAATGTTGTGTCCAGGATATTCATATGATAAAATTGTTTTTTTTTTTTTTTTTTTTTTTTTTGTGAAATTTAGTGTCATTACAAAGGTCTTGATTTGAATTTGTGCCTTTTCAAGGTTTTATATTATTGTCACCGATAGTCAATTTATTATGATAAGTATTTAGGCTACATCTGAGAATGCTCTATCTCTAGATATAATACATAATTAAGAAATGACCTTGTATCTTGAGAACTATTAACATTTTAAAAGATATAAGCTCATCCTGATGTTACACTCATCGAGACCTTTCATTTGAGTACCCACATCAATTTTTCATATATTTATATATATTATATATATTAGGGTGGCGCAAAAAAACCGACTATTTTTTTTTTTTTAAGTCTCGAGTGAAAAAATGTTAGTTTTTGATGTTTTAAGAGCCCTCACCAAAGGACAGCTCAAAAAAAAATTTTTAAGAGGTCACTCCAAATTTTTCAAAATTTCAAAAATCGTCAAAAATTGAAATTTTTTTTTTTTTAATTTTTTTTCTCGTTACGATATAATCTAATAGACTAAAAAAAAATAAGTTTCTGAAAATTTCAGTTCAAAATTCGAATTTTGAAAGGTCGCTCATAATTTTTTTTATTTTTCGTTAATTAGTCAAATCGCCGACTTTAAGTGTTGGGAGTAGTACGCTGGGGTCTTTTTGGTTTGAAAAAATCTTAAATTACGCGGCAAGGTCAAATCTCAACCAAACTGGTTTCTAAGACCAGCTTGGGATTAGAACTCACGCCTGGCAGTTGATTAAATAAAATTACTAAATTAAAAAAAAATTATATTTTCTATGCTGTGCTTGATTTTTAGTTCATCTCGAGATGTATTCTTATCGATTATTGTACTAAATAAAAAAAAAAAAAAAAATGCGTGGAATTTTAATTTGAATAGTAAAAGGTCACTCGAAAAAATCTAAACTAATGCACTAATAAATTGAAAAAAACTATGAGCGACCTTTCAAAATTCGAATTTTGAACTGAAATTTTCAGAAACTTATTTTTTTGGTCTATAAAATTATACCGTAACAAGAAAAAAAATTAAAAAAAAAAAA